ACAGCCCGCCTGGTGCAGCCCGCAGGCTTGGCTGGGTAATTTTTGGAATGGTCCTATAATAGTTTCACCTCTGTGAGTACAGGCAAAACTCAACAGATGTCTCCTGTAACTTACAGGAGGCCCCCTGATGTACCGGAGACACTGACTGGATGTCAGGTGCTCACTTTGCTGCCAAAGGAAGTGCCAGGTTCCAATGATACTCCATGGTTAGGCTTCCCGTGATTTCCTTCCTGGACCGGTGACAGCCTTCCCGCCTCAGCCACTTCCTGCTGCGAAGCGGTCTTCCTGCCTCGAACGCTGTCCTGTGCGGCCTGTCCTCAGCATTGCTACTCCCGAGTTGCCATCTGCCTGCTCAGGGGACTCCGTGGTTTTCTGTTTCACGGTCTGTTACATTCCTCAGTGACCCTGAGCACGGACTGTCCGCCTCCTGGTCTCACAGCTTTGGACTCTGTGGGTTTAGAGGTCTTGACCTCTGGGTGGAAGGAAAGATTACACAAGGGCTGTGACGGGAGTTGCGATAAATTTCAAATGGTGGCTGCTGCCAGGTCCCTTTGGGCCCTTTGGGCTCTTTGTGCTAACGGGGCAAGAAGGCGTGACCGTTCTGGTCCTGGTGACGACTGGAAGCAGGTGAAGGCAGGGCTGCTGTCCTGCAGAGGTGGGCACAGAGTGTGTGGCCCCCAGGCGGGGCGCTGGGACATCTCCTGACAGGAAAAGGTCAAACGCTGCAGCCGCAGCCGCAGAGGGGCATCGTGACCAGGGGCTGAGGCCGTCAGGGCCGATCCCACATGGATGGTGGATGAAGGAGTCGGTGAGCGCTGTATGTGACCTTGGTGCAGGCTGGTGACACAGCCGTAGTTCTTGCAGCCTCCCCCCCGCCCCCTGGAAGTGTCAGCGCCTTTGCTCATGGGGGCTTCTCTGCCAGGGGTGCCTTTGCAGCCTCCGACCCGCTCGGCTCTCCTGAGTCTCTCCCTCCCGGCGTCCCGTACAGCCATCGAGTCTCCGTCCGTGGGGCTGATAGCACTGCTGTGTGACGGGCCTTGACGTCCATCTTCCGCAGCGGACGCGACGCGCTCCGTGGCGGAGTGAGGACGTCACCTTCGCAGCACAGGTACCACAGGAAACCCAGGAGGCACTCTGCAGACGCTCACGGAATGAAGTAGCAGCTCCCCGCATTTCTGCAGCGCATCCACGTCGCTCCGCTTAGGGATCCCGTAATAAGTCCGCCTCTTAGGTCACCACACGCATTAACCCCTCTTACTCCAGATGCTTAGTGCGCAAAAGCGCTTCGCGAGCCGTGAGCCGTAGCCGCCCGAAGCACGGAAGGGCTGCGGCGGGTCAGGGTTAGGGAGCGGCCGCTGCCGGTCGCCTCTGGGCTGCCTGCCCCGCCTCCTCCCAGAGCGGGGCCCTGGCTGTGCTGTCCGGGGACCTCGGGGCCCTTGGGCCCTTCGCTCAGCCCTGCTGCGGGAGCACCGGCGCGCGCTCCTCCTCACTCTGCCTGCTGCACCTCCGAACCTCCGAAAGCTCCTGTCTGGGACGGCAGGCTTCGCCTCCCACTGCAGACAGGTTTCTGCGCTACCTTCGTTGCAGGTAATCAGTCCAAATTGGGTTTCTATTCAGCACCTCCTACGCCTCCCTGTTAACTCTGAACGCTGACAAACACCAGAAGATTCGTGTAAAAATATTTCTCCCGTAGAGGAGTCGCTCCTTGTTCCAGGTTCCTCTGTTTAATGCCATCTGGGAAGAGTTGACTGTAGATTTAATTATGATTTTCCTGAAGCCTGACATCGCTCCGTCAGGCGTGGAGTGAGCACAGGGCCTGCGGAGGTCTGGCCCGAGCGCCCGGATCTTGTCCAGCTCAGGGTTAGGGGTGCTGGTGTTTACCTGGACTGGCAGGATAGGGCACAGGTGAGGAACACCTGCTGTTTATGGCTCAGCAGCGGTGTCGCCAGCCCCCGTAGCGTCTCGTGCTGTTGCTACTGCTCTTCCCTTGGTACTGATGATGGACCAGAAGCCTGGAGAGTGACACCTTGCACGGCTCTCAGTGGTGGCTGAGATCCCCGTCCAGTTCCCCGCCCTGGGGTCGGCGCCTTCCTCAGCAGGCCCTGTGACCGTAGCACTCACACCCTCTGTGCTTTCCGGAGAGGGAGGCGTCAGAGCCTCAGCTGACCGCTGTCCCTGGGCAGCAGGAGGGCAGGGTGCTGCTGCTGGGACCTAGTAACTGAATCCCGCAGCACCGTCCCTCCGTGGAGAGGCCGTGGAGATGGCACAGGGCCCCGTGTCCTGCACGTGTGTAGGAGGCCGGACTCGCGGGGAGAACCTGGTGGAGCCTGTAGCACCAGCAGTCCGGGGACCCCCTGTGTGAGCCCACCTCCGCTCCCGTGAAGCAGACGTGCCGGACCCCAGAGGACGCGGGCACCCCTCTGGCAGGGGCCGGGCCCGGGAGGGAGTGCCCCATGGCTCATACACGCAGACCGTCCGGATCTTGGGGCATCAGTGCGGTGACGCCTCGCCATGTGCCCGCACTCCTTTTAACTGACTGTTGCCATGGCAGCGCGAGAACCGCTGGGAGACTTGGCCTTTCAGGCAGCACCCAAGATGCTGGTGCCCTCTCCTCCCTCGGACTGCCCTGCGGGCCAGGTGGTCTGCTTAGATCCCTGCCTGCAGCGGCAGGGCCGGGCAGGGCTGAGCAGGGCCCCGGGCTCCTGGCCCGCCTTCTGATGCAGTGACACCGGCAAAACCGCCTCCCCTCGCCGTCTGGCAGGGGGTCCATTAGCTTAGTCATGCATGAAAGCACTGCCTCGCGCTCGTTAGTTAGCGCCGTGGCCTGTGTCTCGGTGGTAACACCAGTCCCGGCTCTGCCCCTCACCGGAGATGTGTGGGCTGCGTCTGCTAGCATTCTACGGCATCCCCGAAGTCTGGACACAGACAGGGTCATTTATTTAGTGACAGGTGGGCAATGTCCTTTACGACACCGCACACATGTGCTCTCATTTCTAGACATCCTGGACCCCTATAGAACCAGGTGCAATGCCTGCCCCCGAGGTAGAGGTGGGCACTGACAGCTGCAGGGAGCTGCCTCTTTGCACCATGGTTACCTGGCAGCCCCCCCCTTGCCTGGTCTTTACTTCCTTGAGGGCAGGGACCAGGAGTCCTTCACACTCCAGCACCCGGGGCCAGCTGGAGGATGGGTGGACACTTGCTCAGTATTTGCTGAATGAAGGAAGGAAGGAGTGCATACGAGGGCCAACGTGAGTGCAAGTGTGACGCTGTGTTTTGTAGTAGGAAACGTGTATTTGGTCTTCGTCCCTGTCTCTGGCACATGGCTCCCAAAACACTTGGAATTTTCCCCGTGTTCAGAGTGACAAAGGTGTCTTTTGTTATGAGGTGACTTTTGGAATGCCTCAAGTCACCTAAGGATGGAGCCAGCCGGTCTCCTGACATCAGGGTGGAGAGGAGCCTGGAGGTTGGGTTCACACACCGATGGCAGATGACTTCATCAGTCACGTGAAAACCCCAAAGGACGGGTCTGGACAGCTGCTGGGTTGGTGGACGCATGCAGACGCGGGCAGACGCGGGCAGAGTGGCCATCCAGAGCACACGGGAGGCCCACAGCCTACCCAGACCTCGCCCGGGGTGTCTGTTCCATCTGGCTGTTCCTGAGTTGTATCCTTTGGTAATAAACTGGCAGTCTAGCGAGTATAACGTTTCTCTGCCTTTTCTGAGGCGCTCTAGCAAAGCAATCAGACCCAAGGCCGGGGGGCGTGGGAACCTCCAATCTCGCTGGTTGGTCAGAAGCCCAGGTGACAACCCAGATTTGTGATGGGTGTTGATAGTGTGTGTGTGTACTTTTTAGGTGGGCAGGAGAAGGGGAGCAAAGCGCACCTGGTAGAGAAAATCTAGGGCCCGTGGATCTGGTTGAGGGCAGACAGTCCATCGCTTTCCATCATCAGCTCTGCGAGGTGGACGTGATCACAGGCCACGAAACAACGCGCCAGAGCATGAGTCACAGAGGACCCTGGTTCTGTGCAGGCCGTTAAGTCCTCACTCAAGCTGCACCGCCGAAGTGCTTTGCTAAGTGTTGGTGGTGCTAGTTCACACTAATCTCTCTAGTAGTACGTGGCCGTGGAGATGGCAAGGTCCCGTGTAGAATTTTTCTGAGCCGTCAGCCCAGGTCTGGCAGCCTGAGCATCCTGTATGGTGCTACATTCGGAGCGGTGAGCCTAGGTGGAACACGAGCCTGTGTGTCGCACGAAGACGTGCCATTGGGCACCCGCGTGCCATCACTGCCTGCAGTCTTTCTCCAGGTGGCCGTCAGGACTGCACCTGTGTCACCCGTCAGGGAACGGGTCGGGAGAGCCCTTGACTGAGATGGACTTTAGTCTCCTTTGTCAAGGGGAGGACTAAGACCAATTTTAGTTCGTTTTGGAAAAGTAAGGAAATGGGACATTTCTTACACCCAGGACATGCAATGAAATTCACAGCATTGCACACCTTGTAGTCCAGGTTACAGGGCCACATGCACGCAACAGGAAGCACAGCTGAGCGTCAGGACCTGCAGAATGAGGAACCGTGAAGGGCGGACGGGAAGTCAGGGGAGGTGCAGTGTTGTACAGCTGTAGAGTCCGGTCAGGTCAGGGCGGGGGGAGGCGTCTGGCAGTCCTCAGGGGCCGCCGGGTCGGGGAGGGTGACCCCGTGGAGCAGCTCCCGCACAGTGGTGAGGACGGGGTTCTTTTGAAATCGTCGAGTTAAAATCTCTTGTCACTCATTGGAGAAAAGGGCAGTAAGCATTGTGCGGAAAGCCTGCGGGGAGAAGGGGAAGGTGACA